AGGAAGGAGAGAGAGAGAGAGGAGGAGGGATGTGTTTTTTGTGTTTTGGGTTTTGTGGTTTGGTTTGTGTGGTTTGGGTTTTGTGGTTTTTTTGGTTTTGTGGATTTTGGGGTTTGTTGGTTTGGGTTTGTGGTGGTTTTGGGTTATTGTGGTTGGGTTTTCGCTGGTTTGGGTTTTGTGGTGTTGGGTTTGTGTGGTTTTGGTTTTTGTGGTTTGTGTTTTGGGTTTGGGTTTGTGATTTGGGTTTTGTGGTTGGGTTTGTGGTTTGGGTTTTGGTTTTGGCGTTTGTGTGGTTTTAGGGTGTTTGTGGTTTGGGGTTTTGTGCGTTTTGGGTTTTGTGGTTTTGGGTTTTGGTTTTGGGGGGTTTGGAGTGGTGCTTCCGCCGCTTGGGTTTGGTTTTTTGTTGTTGTTTTATTGTGTATAGAGGCCATTTATTCACTCATTGAGTCTATCAAACTGTTCTTCAAATCCACCAGCGCCTGTTTTTTTTTTCTCTACGGTGTCTTTTTTTGAATAAACAAATATATACTCTATTCCTTTGGGATTTTGGTGTAAAACATGTGCGTATCCACATTATACTAAAATTATGTGAATAATAATAATAAGAGGTTGAGCCATGGTGCCTCTCTCTCTCTCAGCTATATAATTCATTTTTATAATTTTTGTCTGAGTTGGGTAGGGAATCTCCTATAAAGTCAGTGCAATGTGATTGTTTGTGTTTTTGTGTTGTGGGTGTTGTTGTGTTGTGCTGTGTTTTGTTTCTTTCTTGTGGAGGGCTAGTGTTTATTTGGTTGTTGTCTTGAGTCTCTATATTTTATTCTGATAATATATTAACGTTTTCATTTTCCGCCTTGGCTCATAGTTTTATGTTTTTAGTTTTATGGTCCTTTTTTTTTTGATCCTTTTTCATTTTGTTTGAACAGATGCGCATGGTTAGAGTTTCTTTAAAGGGTTGTTATAGCATTCTACTACGTTTGGTGTGACAGGGTTAGCTGTATCAACACCAGAGGCATGGCAGTCGCCTTATATCTGAGTATGTTCTTTTTTGATTGTTTATAATACATATCTTGATTTGTGATCTTTAGTGAATTGTATTCTTGTATGCAATAGTTGCATGTCGTGTGTTGAATGACAGGTGAGTTACCATTCAGTGGCTGGAGATATTGTGTTGTTCATGTTCAACAGCTTGTGTGCAGTTTATAAGTACTGATTCAAATGTTTTGAAAACATGGTGACACAGTGGAAGTGTTGCCAGTATGCAAAGCAGGCTGGTTCTTTACTTTGTGTAAGTGTTACGATGGCATGCACACACATTTAGGCTAGTCTCATCGACTTTAAAATCAAAGCAAATGGGAGTTATGGTTATGAGACATTTTTTAATAGTTCTAACATTAGTTCAATAATTATAGTTTGGCCATTTCTATAAAAGATCAAAACATTACTAAACAGAACTACCTTCTGAGATATTGGGAAGTTATTCAGTACAGCACCAACATGAGCTTAGCATGGATGATCAAGTATAGTTTTACTAAATTACTAACTGGGAAGTTGAATACATGAAAAGGTTCAAATGTCTTTAAAGATGTCACTTCCTGCTAAAATGTTACATTTATTGTTTAAAGAACTATCAGTTTTTCAACAATGGACAATTATAGGACGGATATTTTGGGTTTAGGGTTAGGTATGTCGAATAACTTGCGTAGATAATTGGTTTAGAATAAAATGATCCAACAGGAAATTCATTGGAAAATATTTGATTATTAATTGTTTTTGAGCTTGAGTGAACCCACTACAAAAAATGCCCCATTATCTGGTGCTGCTTTGTAACATACTAACTTATATTACATCGTTTTTGAAGCCAACACTGATTAAGTTATTTCCAGGGTTCCAAATATCCGGTAACATATTGTCACTCAAACATTATCAATTCGAGAATGGATTTTGAAGTTGAGAGACAATGTTGACAGGGAAATAGCTAATCCATCTCATCTGCTCTTTTCCACTGGATTGTTTAACTTGCATTCAACATAGGCCCGCGTCCAAATGTAATTTAGTGGGGAATGCTGATACACATTCCAACTACTTTTATTCTTATTCCGCCGGGTAATTGTTTGACGCTCTTCTGCTCCCACATTCCACATCACAGAATGTCCGTTCAAACATCAAAAACGTTTCAGCTGGTCGGAATCGATTGCTATTACTTTTGTCAGTTCATAACTTTCATAATTCATAATTCAAAAATGGAAGTCAATGGAGAAACTCTTCCAGACTTGAAAAATCTTCATGCGACTTCAACTGTAACTGTTCCTTCAACTACTTTCAACTCACAAAAACCTCATTCCAACTTTAAAATGTTACACATCTTTCTGACATTATTCGTGTTACACAGCTTTTAAATCAGATGCATACTTTAGAGAGATATTTAAACATTGTTCAGACCTTGGCAAAGAGGCCTTCTTCAGATGTTTAACATTGGTGTGTATTGCATTGCGCAGCTCGTTAAGCGGTAGAGTGCGTGATGTCACAAGCTAGAGTGGAGGGAGAGCTGAAATTTGCCTTCATAAGTAATGGTAAGGCCCTCAACCAGCTCTAATGTCAATTATGGGGTGTCATCATATGCCGTTTCCATGGAAACGCAATCCCTCGCCATAAAACACGATGTCGCTGTTAACTCCTCCAAAGGACACGGTCCAATCGCCCCCCAAAACTTTGCTTTGTATATCACGCTCCAGTCTCAACAGCTCTACGCCAAATCTGAGATCTCACCATAGGCTGTTTCCATGGAACGCCTCCCTTGCCAAAAAACACCATGTTGTTCGTAACTCATCATGAAAGGGTTAAAAACAGCCACCAGACTTCAGGTGACAGTTAATGGTCCAGGCCCTTCAACATGTCTATGTGACATTAGTGAGTTTTCCTCAAAAGCTGTTGCCATGGCGTCAACGCATCCCTCGCCGTAAAACCACGATACTGCTATAATTTCTATGAAAATGGTCAAAAAGTGCTCAAACTTTACATGCTGTGCTAACAATGCCAGCCGTGAAGACATAATACGTGACAGTTTTGACCAATTCTCAAATGCCGTTGGCCATGGCAGCACCAATGCTCGCCCATGAACACGGTTTCTCATAACTTCCAGTGAAGAATGCTCCCAACGGCCCAAAACTTCAAGGTGTGGTAACGATGCAGCCATCCAACACATCTAAATCAGCGACAGGTGCTCGACACTTATAAATGGACGCCGCTGGCCCGGAAGCACTATTTAGTACACCCCCGGGCCAAGCATAACGTACTTTCCACTTGCCCGCTCGGGCCACTAAAAATAGTTGCTTTAAAAAAAAAAATATGGTCCTGTAGCATTGGTATTTTGACCCAATTTAGTTAAATTGTTTAGTTTATTAACGCTACAACATAGCGTTTTGTGAGGCGGTTGTCGTTGTTGGGTGAAAAGCAAACAGTGTTTGCTGCGGAGCGCAGCGCGAGCAGGCTCCCGTGAGCAGCGCTCCTTCTTCATTACAGACTATCGCGCCACCCTAACCATTCGCCAAAATGTTTTTTAATACCAGCGGTTTAACCGCCAAAGCGCCGGGCAAAAATCAATCTTTCAAATAAAAAGAAAGTCACCGGAGGAGTTAAAGGAGAGTGACAGGAGTATGAAGAAGAAGAGGGAGAGAAAGGTTTTAGCCACACTGACGCGTCCCTACAAACCCCTTTTATAATCTATCGATTAGATTTATGTTCGAAAATTATAAAAATAGGGGTAACAAAACGTGGAGATTATCCGGCTGAACAAAAACGTGCATTTATCAAACAGGTTTGTTTTGCCACAGACCTTATTCCAGCTATTTTCCAAAACCTGTGGAGAAATCCCATTCTGCTTTTTGACGAGGGAACCAGCGGCTACCTTCCTGGTTTTAGGACGCGTCACTGGCTGCACCTCCAGATGATGCCAATAATTAAACAAGGTCTTCTGTCGGCTCTGTACATCAATGCCGACCTATGCTGACAAGTAAGTGCTATACGCCAATACCTTATATTTTCCTACTGTTCATCTTACCTTCATTATCCTAAACTAGTTTAGGATAATTGAAGGTTCTAATCTAATCTTACTACATAGCCATTACATTTCTAATGACAGGAAGGCAGAAAGTCGCATTATACAAATAATACTCCATTAATAATAAGCAGACATTTTTTTAAACCATATGACCCACAATATCGCATTATTTTAATAACACCAAATATGAACAATTGAGGAAAATGAGCGAAGGAACTGATGATTTCAAATGTTGTAGTACAAGTAGTAA